AAGAGATTGATGGGTTCTTAGAATCTGGTGTCTTGCCAATGTGTGTTTCTGACACTGTTCAGATTTTGGTGATGTAAGCATTCTCACTGTAGTGCTGAAACCTAACCTATAGAATGGGGAAAAGAATGGCCTGAATTTTTTAAGAAGCAAAACTGCTAACATGGGAGAGAAGAAGTTTTTAAGTATGTGCGTAACCCTTGTCTCTAGAAGCCCGAGTGATCGAGAATCAAGCTTTTAACAGAAAGACCTAAGAGCTGGATTCCTCTTAGACAAAATACAGCTGTACTTCTTAAATTCAGAGTGGTGGAAGAATGAACACTGTCAGTAAAGAGGCTGTTCTCTTCTGCTTTTCTTAAAGAATGATAAACTAATCCTTAGAACCAATAATTCCAAAAACAATCTTCCCCAAACTGTTATTAAAGAAGGTCAGCTAAATGCACTTTATCTTATTGCTGCTACTTATTTTTCTCATTGTGTTATGTTGATGGAACTCCTTGAAATACTCTTACCAGCGAGTTTTCTCTCTGCTGTATTTAAGGTGATAAATTTGCATGAATTATTCCTGTATCAATGCTGTAAGCAATGGAAACCAAAATAAAAATGAATTGGAAAAATACTTCTCCTTTGTTCTGCGTGTCGTGATACAAAGTCTTCAAGTGTAAGTATAATATAGTCAGATGATGATATGCTACCATGTTGTAGTAAATTGTGTGTTTGACAATAGTGACCTTTTATCTGCGTTCTTACTGTGAAAATGAACAAGGAGATCAATGATACTGAATTGTCTGATAGAAGGTTTGAGATTCCGTCTTAAGTTATACTAAAAATGTCGGTATTGAATCAGCGATTTCTTTAGAATATTGCAGGAAATAATGGTCAGCAAATACCGCGTTAATAGACTGAAATTGTGGTGAATCAGTATTCTCTGTTGATGGATTACATTGTGCGTGTTAGAAGAGAAGGCGGCAGATTTCCAGTGATACGTTTTCAGCTGCCTTTTAGCTTCTGGGGCGCTGGGGGTACGCGGTCCGTTCGGAGGTAACGAACCCAACAGGCGGAGGTTTGGGGCCGCCTCCTGCGCTCCCCCAGCGCCC